TAAAGGGTGATAATACAGACGCACAAAAATCATGACCTAATAGTTGTCTCCATTCTCATTGATAACTCCTCATATTTGCCATATTTTAGGTTTCTCTTTTCTAAATTTTTCTCCATGAATATTTGTAAACTCATACATTTGTAAACACACACATTTGCTTAGACAGGTTTATGTTAGAAATGGAAACCTAAAATAGAGTTCACAATTAACTTTCCCCATGGTTAGTCCTGACTACAAATAGTGTAAGGAGGCTTGAACTCCAAGGAAAAGGGTATGTTTTGTCCCCAGGTCTTTTCTGCACTGTGAAACAGGTAGACACCTGCTTATGCTTTATCCTCTTCTGTCTTCACTAATTACCTCATTACTTTTCCTTTTCATCAATCCCTGTCTTCACAACAGGATAAAATATACCTGGTTGTAGGATACAGATCTCTTTTCCAAAGACAATTTGATAATATCTTCATTTTCCCCTCTCTTCTTTCCATTCTTTCCCTACTTAAATGAGCCTTTTGATTACATTTCAAGCTACAAAAACAACAACAACAAAACTAGGTTTCATGTTAGAGAGAGAAAAGCTCAATATCAATATTCTTCCTAAATCAACACTATAGGTTATTTGGCTTTGTTTTTGTTTTGTTTCATTTTGTTCTATTTTGATGCTGTCCTGGGGCTTGAACTCAGTGCCTGAGCACTACTCCTGAGCTATTTTGCTGAAAGAACCACAGCTCTACTTCCAGCTTTTTGGTAGCTAATTGTAGGTGAGAGTCTCATGGATTTTCCTGCCCATCTGTCTTCAAACCTTGATCCTCAGATCTTAGCCTCCTGAGTAGTTAGGATTATAGGCATAAGACACAGGTACCTGGCAAAACCTAGTTTTAATTTTTATTCATTTATCTTATTTTCTTCATGAGAAGGAGAATATAAGTAGAAGAGTTTCTAAGACTTGTTTCCTTCTTTTTCTTTTTTCAATTGAAAAACAGAACCAAACAAACAAGCGTAATATTGTAGTCTGAAACGCATTCAAAGGCTTACTTTAAAATTAGGATATCATATTGTCTTTGGAACAGAGACATGTATCCTATAAGCAAATATATTCTGTCATATTTTTAAGCAGGGATTGATGAAAAGATGGGAAAAGTGTCTTGGAAACATTTGGACTTAGACTAAAAGGTCTGAGTTAATCCTGGCTAGGTCGTGTTTGTGAGTCAAAGTAGGAAACTACTGGAACTCTAGAGTATGTGGTGAAGACTTGAGAATTGCAACGACTGGCTTACCATGAAACCCCAAGTATTTATACATGTACATTTGCCTAAGTCACCAATTTGGTATTAGATGAAGTAACTACTTAGGGCAATGGCTGGCATGAGGTAAATACTCAGTGTTATTTTATTAACTATTTTAATATGATTCTTGTACACTTTCCTCAAACCATCCCTTAACTTTCTTCTTCTGATTTTTCTCTTCTCTGACTATTCTGTAGCTCCTTTCACTATGAAGTTTTTATAGAAAAGGAATAAGATTTTATATCTAATGAGATCTTTACTGATTTAGGTGTCAGATAATGCAGTTTTCACTCCATGTAATATATTGGCTTATGATGTCTAGAGACAGTAACTGGAAGGAGTATTTATTGAGGAAGTTAGGTTCTAAAAAGGTTCCAATATTCTCTCTCTCTCTCTCTCTCTCTCTCTCTCACACACACACACACACACACACACACACACACACACTCCTACTGAGATTAAGAAAATACCTCTAATTTCCAGATAATTAAAGCAATCACTAAATACAGTTCGCAAGAGTCACTTTAGTTATATGGCAATCATATATTAAATTAGTGCACTTCGGCAAAAATTAATTTAGTTTTATGATTAAAATACTTTTAATTCCACATAAAGACTTTCTAAAATCTTGAGGTGAAGGTAGCTTGATTTTTTTCTTTTCTATATTGTCTGACATTATCAAATCTAAATCCAAGTAGCAATTTACAACCCAGACCAACGGAACTATACACAAATATTTTCATGGACATGTTGAGATGTTGCTTGGGCATATTCAACCCTCAATTTTCTCATTCTATTAATGCCTATCTTTACACCTTGTGGAGAGTCAGGAAACATACACTTTAGATCTTGTGCTGTGATGGCAAACATGAGCTTGAAGTTTGCCTATTCTGTTTTAGGACTTTAGCTTTATAAGGTCCTTACTGAAAATAATGTTTCATATATAGTATATGATGATGGACCAATATTACCACAAAAATACTTTTCTGACTTAAAAAATATCCCAAGGCTGTTAATTTCCAAATCTATTTTCAAGTTTAGGAAAGGTTCCTACCCATGACCACATGTGTGTTTGTGTGTGTGTCTGTGTGTGTCTATGTGTGTGTGATGTGATTAGTCCCTATGATCTCCACTTTTTAAGACATAAATTTCCATATAAATCACAGGACAGCACTATTTCACTAACAGCAGACATTATGACATGTTTACATGACAGCAAGCTGAGATCCCCAAGCACTCACTAACCCATCACTGCACAAAAGGCCAAGACATTAACAGCAGGGCTGATTGATAAAATTAATGCAGAAGTACAGGATTATAGAGGACTGTTGTATAACAGCATCACCACATTCTGCAATATTCTGTGACTCCATGCAATAAAGGAATAAATATTTTGCAAGGCAGTGAGAGAAAAACCAGTGGAAAAAGATGTGCTGGAGAGGAGTAGTTAGCTAGTGCTCCTAATTTTATCTGTCCACATGAGCCCCTATAATCTTACAATGTGGCCCTAGTCATTTAGTAGGCATGGAATTCTGTCCTAAAACCCCCTCCACTCTCACTTAAGCTCCATTGCTTTCCACCATGCTTCTAACAGCCAATGACAAGGTATAATGGTGACTACTTTGTACTGTGGGGTTTTTTTTCCTATCTGAACTCTTGTCAAGCAGCAGTCCGGAATTGTCACTACCTGCTGGTGGCCTCTATCCACCTGCTGTCTGCAGCAAACACACCCAAAGGAACAGCAGCAAATCTGAAAACCCTGGCTAATGGAAGAGAATCCAGGACAGGTGGCAGAGAGGCTGTGCAATCAGTGAGGACAGACGAACTGACAACCAGACAGACAGACAGCAGCACCATCAGACACAATCCATTACTTCCAGTCTCAGAAGAGGGGAAGCCTGCAGCACCAGGGATGTCATTCTTCCACTAGGGACAGGCAGCAGATTAACGAGAGTTTTGCCTCCCACAAGCCGGCAGGCTTAAAGTATTTTTAATTTTTTAATTTTTATTTTTTTTGGTGAGGGTGGGTGGGGGCAGCGAGAAGGAGCAGGGTATTCAGAAACCTGCTGCTGTTTGATAAAACCAGGCCAGCTCTGGCAACAGATTTTTTTCTTCTTCTTCTAAGTCTATAATGCAAGGGAAGAGATGACTGGATTTCTACTATTTCCCTGTGGCTTGACACCCACCTCATCCCCTCCCTCACGCCCCTCACACACCCTTTAGGTGGCAATTGCACTTGCACTTGTTGGGGACCCATGGGTCTGTGAACAGTGCCTCTCCTGGAGGCACTGCTGCAGGGAGGGGGATCTGAACCTTCCCTGGCAGCATCTTCTCTCCAGTAGGCAATTCTAAGGGGGCCTGAGAGAGGCTCTGCTGAGGGTGCTCTGTGCCCTCCAGTCACCCCTGCTCCTTCCACCATGGTTCTTCCCAACCAGCTAACTCCAAATGCAACAGGTTCCCTTTGGCTCTCCATACCAATGGCCTGCTCCAGATTCACCTTCCAGCTAAGGAGTCTATTCCAGTCAGGTGATCTAAATTCCCCCAGCCCAGAGTGGGGAACTTTCCTGATACAGTGAAGGCTTGCCGTGGAAGGGCAGGCTTGCAGTCTCCATCAGCTGCACTTCACAGGTGATGCTAAGGAACCAGGAAAGCCAGCCTGGATTGCCAGTACCTTGGAAGCAGTTTTGTCGGAGGCAGGCCAAAGCACAGTGTTACACACTCCTGCACCACTAGCAAGCAGCCCTTTCCCCTCTTCATCCTCAGGAAAATGGGGCACTAGCAGAGATGCCCTGGAGGGCAGATGGGTTCTAAAGAGGAGATGATGTGTGCAAATATTCAGTCCCTTCTGGGGCTGCTTCCTTTAGCAATTGAACAGGCCTCAGAGGTTTCTTGGAAACCAGTAAAGAGAAGGCTCTATTCTCTTTTTCGTTTTTGAAATTCAAGACAGACTCTCCCTCAGCATCTCCCATGATTAAAAACTTTGTATTGCCAATGGCATCGTGTATAGGTAAGATCTGTCTCCACACAGGTATTCTGTGCAGAAGACTAGGAATAAAAATGAAACTGGCAGAGGCAGGTTACCAAAGATGGCAACTGCCCTCCCTCCCCCCCCCAAAAAAAAAAAGACCCAGCCTTGATCTGTGAGATGAATGAGTACCCAAATGAACACTAAAAATAAGCTTTTTGATTATATAAACACCAGCACCCTTCCCTGGGCTAACTCAGACCTGCCAAACAACTCTAAAAGAGGAGCTGTCTTCCGCACCCCCAGCACCTCTTCATCCCACCTCCTCTCCCTCTGCTCACGCCTTGGCCCCAATCCTGCCCCCAACCCAGACCCTTCCACTCCGGGGCTCAGTGTCTCTCAGCTACCACACACCCCACCAAGACCAGGGTAGCCCCTGCCCACCCAATCCTCCGGAGCACCCCAATCTCAAGCTCTCCTCTCCCGGCTCTTAGGATCCTGATTTCACTGGCATCCTGTCCCTTCCTCTGGACCCCTTAACCTTTTCTCGGCTCAAGCCCCAGGCCTCTGCCCCCCACCCTCGGGCGGGCATCTCCACCCTCCCCCCCCCACTCTGCCGCCCCTCCCCCACACTTGGCCAGGAGGACAGGGTGAGTGAGTGGTGAATGGACCTGAGGAGGCATGGGGGGAAGGATGGAGGGAGGGAAGGTATTAAGGATGGATGGATAACCGGCTGGCTGGGGCTGGCTTACTTAAGCATGGCTTCTTCTTTTTCCTCCTCTTCCTTCTGCCGGTCCATCACTGCCATGATGATGTTTCTCTCCTCCTCGGTCAGGTGGCTCAGGTCCGGCAGCTCTTGCATGGGGGGAGGCACCGTGGGTGGGCGAGGACCTCGGGGCCCCACGGCCGAGGACATTTTCGTGGCCTGCCCGCCCCCTCCGCTCGCGCTCTCCGCCGGCTCTCCCGCTCGGTCTGGCTCTCTCCGGGTCTCACCTTTCGGCCGCACGCCCGGCAGCGCGCCCTGCTCTCGGGGTCACAGCGGAGCCCTCCCGGCCGGCGCCGCGGAGCCGGGGAGAGCCGGAGCCCCGTCCGTCATGGTGGTGCGCCCGCACC